CCCGAGGTCATAAAAACCCGTTCTGAGTCTGTGTAAAAATTCATCACACTGCACACCAAGAAAGCGATTTTAACCGTACGTAAATGTAAAATGTTTAACTTCCATCAAGAAACGTAAAATGCTGGTCCTCGTACTTCTTCCTAATCAGGAAGAAAACCACTGGAAATGAAGGGGGTGGACCCCCAAACTCAGACACAGAGCTTCTGACAAAATTTCTTACGTTAAAAATATACCCAACAGTCCACATGTTCCTCTCAGGTTCGAAATGCCTTGGTAAGGATGCGCACCATCTCCACGCTAAGCACGGTCCCCAATTTGTCATTTGGCCGGTTTACAAACCACACGTTTGGGGAAAGGCGCCGGTGTGCCTCGGCGGCGGCCCTGCTCCACAGACGCCCTCCCTCTGCTCAGCGGGCCCCTAACGTTCACCAGGGCGCCCACCTCAACACCAGCAGCCCCTGCGCGGAAGGCCCTGGACCCGGCCCCTCTGCGTCCGGCCGCCGGCCGTCCCTCGCAGCCCGCGGCGGTGGGCCGGCGGCTCCCTCGGGGGGCCGGCGCGCCCTGCCGGGGATCTTCCCGCCGCTCCGGCAGGCAGCCGTGCCGGGAAGGGAAGCAGTCTCTGACGTCCACGCTACCGCTCCCAGCCACGGCTCTCGCAAGCCCGCCCGCAATGCCCCTCTTATGAGGCCCCCACCAGCGGACCGGACGCAGCGCTCCCCCGGCATCGCTGCCGCCCACCAAAATGCCCTCCGGCCGATCGGCCTCTTTTCCTCCCTACTCCGCACGACATCGACCGCTCGACACCGTCCTTCGCTCCTCAGCTGAGGGTCTGCTGGAGAAAACGGGCACCGCCCTGAGGTCCGACCGGAATCCTCCGTTTTCTCCCATTTCGCCGTCCGCAAGGCAGCCCTGAAACTTTTACCAGCCCTCTCCAAGCCCCTAAGCCGTTGCAGCTCCGCTGACTCTCCACGTGGGAAGCTCACCTCCTCCTGGGAGGAAAACGGCATATGCTCTTCCCTCCACCGCCCAACTCGCCTCCTCGGGAGCACATCCTCACGTGCTCGCTCCCGCGTCAGAAGCGCTGACCGTCCTCCCTGCAGCCGAGACCTCCATCACTGTCAGGGGCCTCCTCGCTGTTTCACACTGACTCCTTCCCCTCCGCCGTCCCCATTCGCTAAGCCCCGTGAGCCAACACAGCAACAAACGCTCAGAAAGGTCTCAGAACCTGCCTGTGTGCCTATTCTCACCGCTGCTCTCTCAGAGCAAGCCCTCCCCACCGCCGACTCACCCTAACTCTCCCTGCTTCAGTCCTCACTGGCACCAGAGATGTCCCAAGTACAAAGCTCCGCACATCACTTCCTGTCTCCACCGCCCACTGCCACAGGACAGGATCCAAACCCAAAGTTAGGCCGGCCTGCCAAGGTCTTTGCCTTCTGAGCTCCCTACGCACACACACGCACGCACACGCACACACGTGCACAGATGACCATGCCCCACCAGTGAACTCCCTGCCATTCTGCAAACACTCCAAGCCCTTACAGGATCACACAGGCTGTCCCCCCCCCCCCCCCCCCCCCGCGCCCCCCCCCCAGCCATGAAATCCTCTGTATCATGCATTTTCATTCCTGGGTTATCACCCCTCCCACCTGGACTAGTTCAAGAAGGGAATCTATAAGCATTTCCCAGCCTGCTTCTCTCTCTCTCTCCCTCTCTCTCTCTCTCTCTCTCCACATCCCCCACTCGAGACTCTTCCCGCCGCTCCGGCAGGCAGCCGTGCCGGGAAGGGAAGCAGTCTCTGACGTCCACGCTACCGCTCCCAGCCACGGCTCTCGCAAGCCCGCCCGCAATGCCCCTCTTATGAGGCCCCCACCAGCGGACCGGACGCAGCGCTCCCCCGGCATCGCTGCCGCCCACCAAAATGCCCTCCGGCCGATCGGCCTCTTTTCCTCCCTACTCCGCACGACATCGACCGCTCGACACCGTCCTTCGCTCCTCAGCTGAGGGTCTGCTGGAGAAAACGGGCACCGCCCTGAGGTCCGACCGGAATCCTCCGTTTTCTCCCATTTCGCCGTCCGCAAGGCAGCCCTGAAACTTTTACCAGCCCTCTCCAAGCCCCTAAGCCGTTGCAGCTCCGCTGACTCTCCACGTGGGAAGCTCACCTCCTCCTGGGAGGAAAACGGCATATGCTCTTCCCTCCACCGCCCAACTCGCCTCCTCGGGAGCACATCCTCACGTGCTCGCTCCCGCGTCAGAAGCGCTGACCGTCCTCCCTGCAGCCGAGACCTCCATCACTGTCAGGGGCCTCCTCGCTGTTTCACACTGACTCCTTCCCCTCCGCCGTCCCCATTCGCTAAGCCCCGTGAGCCAACACAGCAACAAACGCTCAGAAAGGTCTCAGAACCTGCCTGTGTGCCTATTCTCACCGCTGCTCTCTCAGAGCAAGCCCTCCCCACCGCCGACTCACCCTAACTCTCCCTGCTTCAGTCCTCACTGGCACCAGAGATGTCCCAAGTACAAAGCTCCGCACATCACTTCCTGTCTCCACCGCCCACTGCCACAGGACAGGATCCAAACCCAAAGTTAGGCCGGCCTGCCAAGGTCTTTGCCTTCTGAGCTCCCTACGCACACACACGCACGCACACGCACACACGTGCACAGATGACCATGCCCCACCAGTGAACTCCCTGCCATTCTGCAAACACTCCAAGCCCTTACAGGATCACACAGGCTGTCCCCCCCCCCCCCCCCCC